GAGTCCAGCACTGTACAAAGTAAGACTGTATATGTGTCTGCTGGTGTCGTCTGAAAACACTACTAATTATTTTAATACAATAGTCAAAACTTAACATTTTCTGTTTCTTGCTCTTCACATAAAAGTAATAAAAAACCAGCAGGAGGCTTTTATTGTGAAGCAGCTTTAGGAAATGCTGTGTTTTTTAGATTTTTTTTTAGCATTGCTCTTCAATAGAAACAGGTATACAAAACAAGATATGAACATATTCTGCAATATTTGATTAATGAATCTGTTTTAAATATCAAAAGGAGGAAGGAATAGACACCGTGAGCAGTTTAGATGAAGAACTGCAGATGAGCTATTGAGGTTCAGACTGTCGCTTTCTTCCCTTTTAATAATAAACTATTAACAATAAATGTAAACATCACTTTGATTTTATTTTTAACTAACTAACTTTTAGAGATTGAGAATGATTTCAGGTGGAATTTATGACTTTTATATTCTAATATTAATTATTCTTCTGGTAACTAAAATCATTCATTTTATTTCTTTTTTTAGTGAATGCTGGTCTGCAGGAGCTTTTAGATGAACATAAGATCAGTCTGAGGAGGAGATGTGAATGTGTGACTGAAGGAACTGATGAAACAGGAAGTGGAACCCTCCTCAACAGGATCTACACTGAGCTCTACATCACAGAGGGACAGAGTGAAGAGGTTAATACCCAACATGAGGTGAGACAGCTTGAGAAAGCTTACAAGAAGAAGACCTTCCATGACATTCCAATCAAGTGCCATGAGATCTTTAAAGCCTTACCTGACCAAAAGAGACACATCAGAGTGGTTCTGACAAACGGCGTCGCTGGCGTTGGAAAAACCTTCTCAGTGCAGAAGTTCACTCTGGACTGGGCAGAGGGCTCGGAGAACCAAGATGTCATTCTTGTGGTTCTGTTTTCATTCAGGGAGCTGAACCTAATCAAAGATGAGCAGTACAGTCTTCTCACACTGCTCCATGTTTTCCATCCAACATTACAGAAGGTCACAGCAGAGCAGCTTGCTGTCTGTAAACTTTTGTTCATCTTTGATGGCCTGGATGAAAGCAGACTTTCACTGGATTTCCACAACAATGAGATTGTGACTGACATCACACAGAAGTCTTCAGTCAACGTGCTGTTGACAAACCTCATCAAGGGGAATCTGCTTCCCTCTGCTCTCGTCTGGATAACCTCCAGACCTGCAGCAGCCAATCAGATCCCTCCTAAATGTGTTGACAGGGTAACAGAAGTACAAGGCTTCACTGACGCCCAGAAGGAGGAGTACTTCAGGAGGAGAGTCAGTGATGAAGATCTGTCCAACAGAATCATCTCACACATCAAGACCTCCAGGAGCCTCCACATCATGTGTCTAATCCCAGTCTTCAGCTGGATCACTGCTACAGTTCTGGTCCACATGTTGACTACAGACCAGGGAGGAGAGCTGCCCAAGACCCTGACTGACCTGTACTCACACTTCCTGCTGGTTCAGACAAAGAAGAAGAAGCAGAAGTATGAAGAGGGACATGAGAAGAGTCCAAAGGAGCTGATGCAGGCTGACAGGGAAGTTCTTCTGAAGCTGGGGAGGCTGGCGTTTGAACAGCTGGAGAAAGGAAACATCATGTTCTACCAAGAAGACCTGGAGCAGTGTGGTCTTGATGTCACAGAGGCCTCGGTGTACTCAGGAGTTTGTACAGAGATCTTCAAAAGAGAGAGTGTGATCTTCCAGAAAACAGTCTACTGCTTCGTTCATCTGAGCATTCAGGAGTTTCTGGCTGCGGTCTACATCTTCCACTGTCAAACCAACAGGAACACAGAGGTACTGAAGGACTTCCTGGGGGAAAAACATGTTGATTCAACTCTGGATGACTTCCTGATGGAAGCAATGAGGAAATCCTTGAGGAGTGAAAATGGCCACCTGGACCTGTTCGTTCGCTTTCTTCATGGCCTCTCTCTGGAGTCCAACCAGAGACTCTTAGGAGGCCTGCTGGGTCGGACAGACAACAGTCCAGAACTCATCCAGAGAGCCATCAACAACCTGAAGGAGATGAACAGTTATAATATCTCTCCTGACAGAAGCATCAACATCTTCCACTGTCTGACGGAGATGAACGATGATTCAATCCATCAGGAGATCCAACAGTTCCTGAAGTCAGAGAACAGATCAGAGAAGGAACTCTCTGAGATCCACTGCTCAGCTCTGGCCTACATGCTGCAGATGTCAGAGCAGGTTCTGGATGAGTTGAACCTGCAGAAGTACAACACATCAGTGGAGGGACGACAGAGACTGATTCCAGCTGTGAGGAACTGCAGAAAGGCTGTGTAAGTCCAGATGTGATTAACATTATAAAACAACATCAAGCTGAAGCCATCAGTATTAGAGTGAAGATACACACTTCACACACATTCACAGTATAAAACTTCCACATTATTTTCCTAAATCGGTATTAAACCTGCTTCTGTTTAATTATTGATTATTGATAATTACATTAATTAGCAATTTTGTGTTTCTAAAAGTCAATTCAGTATCTTCTATTGTCTTATAACTATCTTTATTAAAGTATTTATTTGAGGAATTTCCCTCTGGGATTATTAAAGTATTTCTGATTCTGATTTATTTTGGTGTAGACAGTGGGAGGGTTAAACTGAGGATTGGGACCCCCACTACGGGTCACCAAAGCTTCATAGGGGGTTGCGAGATCTTCTTGATTTTAAGGCATGCTAGAAAACTTTAAAAATATACATAGTACGGTTGCATTTGGTTCAATTCTGTGAAGAAAATTAAATGTAAAGTAAATTGTCTAATAAAACAATGGCCTAATGCCAGGGACAAGAAGACACTGTATTTGTCCCAAAAAAAAAATCCTATTAAGTTTGTATGATTGTTAAAAGGCTTTAAAATAATACAGAGAATTGTAGAGAAGGTTTCCTAAACAGGAAATAATCTGCTCAAACTTCATCCAAGTCACTTGTTTTACACAAACTTCCTGCAGTTACTGAGTTCAATGTTTGGGTTCATTGTACAGTTTTTAATATAATATAAAATATCCATGAAATATGAGTCAGTTTACTAAATGATAGAAGAAGGGGTCCCTCAAGGAACAAGGTTGGGAACCACTGCAATAGGAGAAATAGTGGTCGAACTGTGGCCTCACAGCAAGAAGGTCCTGGGTTCCCAGCTGGGTGGAGTTTTCATGTTCTCCCTGTGTTTCTGTGGGTTTCCTTTAAGTGCTCCGGTTTCCTCACAATCCAAATATGTTGTTAGTTTCATTTCTCCAATCAGTACCATTAACCAGGTGCTGCACAGTGGATGCACACTGATCCTAGTACTTTGGATAGCTTAAATGGGACTTAGTGGGACATATTTTGGTATATGTTGTTCTGTGTATGATTGTATACATACATACAACTGAAGTGAATACATACGAGGGCAATAACAAGCTCAGCCACAGCTCATTTTAATGTTCTTTGTGATCTAAATTCTGTTTTTGTAATTAAAGTGTCATATTGTAAATGTTCTATTGTTTGTATTCACAGACTTTCTGACTGTAGACTCTCAGAGACTCACTGTGAAGTCATGGCCTCAGCTCTGAAGTCCAACCCCTCCCATCTGAGAGAGCTGGACCTGAATGGGACCTACCTGCAGGGTCCAGGAGTGAAGCTGTTGTGTGTTGGACTGGAGAGTCCACACTGTAGACTGGAGACTCTGAGGTCAGTTAATGGGTTTCCTCTGTGTATATCTACAGCGTTTAGGATGCTTTCTTAGCGCCTTCCCCAGCTCAGGGACGTTCACTGGGGTTGAAGGCTTTATTTTCTCATGCCCCCTTTTGTGAGGCAGCTTTGTTCCTTCCCTGTGGAGATTGGGACTGCACTTCCTAGCGTTCTCCACGGGAATGTGATGCCTTCAAAGCTCACTGCTGTGACGTCATGGTCCAGCGCTCTACCTGCAGACAGTGAGGAGGGAAACAGCCCAACTGCGGACGAAGACGGGCCGGCCGAACGTGCCGAACCAAACTCCAGAACCTGGCCCCTGGTACCCATGGTGGCAAGCGACAACCGGATGCTGGACAGAGCTGACAAGACGGGGCTGTCACCGGCCGGGCAGGCGGAACCAGTCGCTGCGCAACCTGCGCAATTCCTCCCCCCCTCTGCAGACCCCCCAGAAACAGAGCAGCCAGACAGAACTGCAGATGTTGTCCAAGAACAAGAGATACTCTCCCTAAACAGCGCGAACAGCTCCTTGTGACAAGCCCCCACTGGAGCTGCAATGCTGCTCCAAAACAACACCTCCAGGAGCCCAGGTGCTTGCTAATCATCAATGCCGGGAGAACAGCCTCCTCGTTGGCTTCCTCTGCCCCGATCCGCCATGGATCCTCACCGCAGACAGACATGACGAGCAGCAGGAAAGATAGAAACAAAAAAACAACAAGTAGCGCACACAAACAGTCTGATCGTTCCCGTGGGGCAGCCCGCAAAACGGTTTGTAGAGGAAGCAGCAAAGAAAGGCAGGCTGAAGCAGCTTATATAAGTGCCATGAATGATATTTGCCAATTGGATGCTTGAGGGAATCAGCTGAGCTGTCAGCTGATGTGTGTTTACGACTAGCTGTGATCTTCTGATATAGCTGGAACTGAGAGCCGAGCCTGACTTCGTGGCCTGCCTGAACTAACACTATGCTTAATGTTTGGCTGCACAACATGAGTTTGTATAGATGGAGCCACTGGTGGAGCTGGCAGAGGTTAAGAGCTGAAGTCACTACGTCTTTATTGAAGCAGCAGCACGTTGTCATTAATATTAATGAGAGCTCTTTTTCACTCTTTGTATTTTACAGTTTGCAACCTGCATCCTGTTGGGTTCAGGTGTTTGGAGTTTCCATTTTCTAAACTTGTACATTGTAAACCTTCTTCAGCTCTGAACAGATTATTAAACACTGAATGATTTCAAGCAGGAACATTGTCTTCTAAACTCACATCTTTTATTCTTTATTCAGATTGAGTGGCTGCAGTTTGTCAGAGATCAGCTGTTCTTCTCTGGTCTCAGCTCTGAAGTCCAACCCCTCCCATCTGAGAGAGCTGGACCTGAGTATTAACGACAACCTGAAGGATTCAGGAGTGAAGCTTCTGTGTGGTTTTCTGGAGAGTCCACACTGTAGACTGGAGACTCTGAGGTCAGACACCATTTTTTATTTCTGTACTGAGATGAATCTGATGTTAAGTTGTGCTGACAGTAAAGTGCAGACAGGTTGATATTTCTGCGTTAAAATCTCCTTCAGATTTGCTGACCTTAAAAAAAGATAAAAATGGTTGAAAATGAGTTTTTAAAGTTTGAACTTTTAAAAGTGAAAAAAAGGATTTAAACATTTGAAAATAACATTTGTATGTCACACTTATAGTTTACAGTTACAATCTTGGCAGTTTTAGTTGGTGAGTGAGTTCAGTTTTATTTATTCAGAAAGTCTGATTAAGATCAGGATCTGTTTTACAACACAGAGCTGAGAACAAATTACAGACGAACAACATCACAACAACAGTTCAGTCACACAAAGCGTTCATCTCTCACACATTAAACCAAACATTATGAATATCAATCAGGAGAACTTCGTAGCGTCTCTGACTTGAATTCGTTGTGCAGTTTATTCCAGTAGTTGGATGCACAGCAGCAGAAACCAGTCTGATCCAGTTCACACTTGGTATGAGGAAGTTTTAAAGCCAACCTTTCCTGTGATCTGGTGTCCTGATTGGATGCTGTGTCAACTAATAATGCCAATATCTCGTCTCTTTAGTTAACATGAACTGATAAATAACTACACAAGTACGCTGATGACTAGAGTATTTACAACATTGATTGAAGCTGTCGTCTGTATTCACACATACAAGTCTGGTGATGAACACATGAAATCCCAACATGCACTGGTGGAACAACAGGTTTAATTCTCAGAAAAGAGATTGTTAAATATTTGAAAAAAGTTTGTTGGATAATGTTTATTTTAATGTAATGTAATCTCTAATCTAATAACAATACAATTTAAATATTTAATGTTAAACCATAGTTAATAATTCTAAACCTTTATTCTAAACTTTAAAATCTCAGTTTTGAGGGGGTTTGACCACAAAGATTTTGATTAACACTGAGCTTCTTGTTCAGCTTCATATTTCAAACATATTTAATAAAACATTAATAATTCAACACTGGTTGATTCTCTCTGAAGCTCTTCATCATTTCATTTCTACCTTTCTCTCATGATACTCTGAATACAAACAGAAACATATTTTCTTCTCTATCAGACAATAAACATATCAGCTTGTACCAAACCTTTCTGATGATATGTGACGTTTCTACTGACTGAATATTTACACTCAAGATGACAGCATTTTATCTTTAAGTGGAATCTTCAATCACTTTCTGTGGCTTTTTGTTTGTGTTTGGCTGCACAACATGAGTTTGTATAGATGGAGCCACTGGTGGAGCTGGCAGAGGTTAAGAGCTGAAGTCTGAACCCTAACCCTGAACAGATTGTTAAACACTGAATGATTTGAAGCAGGAACATTGTCTTCTAAACTCACATCTTTTATTCTTTATTCAGATTGAGGTACTGCAGTTTGTCAGAGATCAGCTGTTCTTCTCTGGTCTCAGCTCTGAAGTCCAACCCCTCCCATCTGAGAGAGCTGGACCTGAATGACAACTACAACCTGCAGGATTCAGGAGTGAAGCTGCTGTGTGGTTTTCTGGAGAGTCCACACTGTAGACTGGAGACTCTGAGGTCAGACACCATGTTTTATTTCTGTGCTGAGATGAATGTGATGTAAAAGTTGTGCTGACAGTAAAGTGCAGACATAAGGCTGATATTATACTGATCCACACTGAGTATCTTAATGCTAAAGTCTGTTTTCTTCTTCTGTGGTTTAGTCCATTGACTGTGGCAGAGCAATGTTGAGCTCTACATTTAAAACCTTCATTTAACAAGAAGAATCTACACTGAATAATTCACTGTGAACCTCTTCAGCTCTGGATTTAATCTGATATTAACATCATGGTTTTAATAAATGAGAATAAAAATACATAAATACAATAAATAGTTCAATAAACTTTATTATCAGACAATAACTATATTCACTTTTTGCTTTTTCAAATATTTTATGAAACTGTTTATATTGACTGAACTTTTTAATTCTAAACATATTTTATTCTTTATTCAGATTGAGGGACTGCAGGTTGTCAGAGATCAGCTGTTCTTCTCTGGTCTCAGCTCTGAAGTCCAACCCCTCCCATCTGAGAGAGCTGGACCTGAGTTACAACTATAACCTGAAGGATTCAGATGTGAAGCAGCTGTCTGATCTTGTGGAGAGTCCGCACTGTAGACTGCAGACTCTGAGGTCAGTAGAGGGTCTGAGTCAGTCCATGCTGGTTCCAGCAGTCTTGGACTAAACACAGATCTTGTATTTGCTGCTTTCCTCAGTGAAGCTGTGAGAGGAGAATGGGGACAGGCTTCAGGATTGGACAGACGGACAGACAGACAGACAGACAGACAGACAGACAGAGAGACAGAGAGAGAACAGTCAGCCAATCAGAGAGCCAGAAGCTTGTTGTGATCATGTGTTTGAGTTGATGTGAATACGACTGTTGTTGTTGTGTTCATGTGTTCAGGAAATAAAGTGGATTCCAGCTGACAGCATTACAAGATGTATAGAGACAGTGGTCCTCATTCATCCAGTCTGATCTCACAGTGTTTGTTCTCTCATTTCTACACTAAACAACTGATCAGTTGGTCTTTTTCACAGCTCTGAGATCAGTCTGACTGAAGCCTGCAAACAACCATCATTACATTTAGTGACCATGTGGTCTTGTGTACAGACCAGGACCTCTGCTGGAGTCCAGTATCCACAGCTGATGTGTTGCTGTTCAGTCTTTGTATGAACATGTAGGACCTTTAACATCAGATATATATCTGTCCATTTGTCTCTTGTTTGTCCAAATAGTTTGAGGATTTACACATTTGTCCTGTAAGATTTCAGATGAAACATTCAAATGTGACTGAGACTGTGGTTTTTATCAGCTTTGAACCCTAACAGCAGTAAATGCATCATTCCAGTGGGCAGTGAATGTCTCTCTGTTTCTGCAGTAATGATGCGTTCAGGGACTCTCAGCACTTTATTTCCACTGTGTACTTCAGTGAAATCTGCAGAGTCAGCAAACTTGATGTCCAAAGTGTCTGCAGGTCTGTGAGCTTCAGCTCAGTGTGTTCACTCCAATACGTTAACATGAGAGCTGAAATGAAGCAGGCTACGCTACACAGCCGCTCCACTGCTGGTCTGAACTGGACTGAAGTCCCTGCTGGTCTTTATACTGGATGTGCTGATGGAGGGAGTCTCTGTAAACACTGATTTATCACTGCTGTTGTCTGTCTCCTTCTCTCCTCAGCTTGAAGAGTTCTCAGTCAGACTGAGTAGTGAGGAAGGAGGTTGTGTTCGAGGATCCGCTGTGTCCTGATGATCCAGAGAGGTTGAAGCAGCAGCATCAGCTCTGACTGGGCCATGTTACTGGGAGGTAGAGTGGAGAGGAGAGCTTCATCCAGCAGTGACTGACAGAGGAATTACAACCAGTGGAGACGACTCTCAGTGCTGCAGTCTGAACTGCTCTGAGATCAGCTCCCTGTGTGTTCCTCTGGATCATGTAACAGACTATCATCAGTGTATCTGGAGTGTTCTGCTGCTGCTCCGTCCTTCTACAATCTCTGCAGACACACTGAGACTGCTCCACCTGGATCAGGACCCAAATCTGGTTTAAGTTTTTTCTTTCTGTTTCAATTCATTCAGATGTGCTGAACCCAAAAAGACTCATCCTTTGGGTCCACAAATTGCACGTGTGTGGCTCAAGTTTTAACCAATTCACAGTCATTTAAATTGCACACAGGTTAAAGCACTGTGAACTACTGTAAAGTCTGTGGGTTTCTCTGTATTTCTTTGTAACTGCACACTGTTGAATGATGGAGAACAGCTGTTAACTTACACATTTTACTGAGGGAACTAGTACCAGTCCCTGTACACCCGTTATCAGGTTGCTGAACTGAATCGCTATAATAAACAACTGTGGGATTAAGGAGAAAGTGGCTAAAAGAAGGAGAGAGCTATGAGTGTGTGTGGGAAGTTTTGTTGTTACATAAAAGTATTATCTGTTATATTGTTATATATGTACATACATATATATTTATTGTTGTTATCTTTGATTCTGGTTTAATCAACTCAGTCGTCAGCACTAGCCTCATTATCTTAGATCACTTATGATACTCACTTATTAAAATAATTCCTGTCTGTTGAAGATTTAAATAAACTAAATAAACTCACAAAAAGTCAAGAAGAAACAGAAAAATACAACTGTACACCTACTACATTAAAGTTTCTGTCCTCAACTGAAGTACTACTAGCTGAGCTAATTGTTAATAACTCATCATAAAACACACTTCAATCAAACACCACAGAAAATAAAACTCACCAAAACTTCTTCTTTGTTCGTCTTTCCACTGTACCAACAATCACCAGTTCTGGTTCAGTCGAAATAAATCCGACGTAAATGTGAAAATATTCTGCCTCTCTGTTGTTGTTGCCTCTCTGTGTGGTGATCTGGATCCCGGGTGAACGCAGTAGAGCAGCAGATCAGCTGCTGACCCCTCCTGTTGTCCTGCAGAGGCCTATCAAGATATTCTCTGTTTTTATTAGTCACTTTTATCCTGTTATTATGTCTGTGTTTATTTCATCATTCCTGTCTTTCATTTAATCTCTTTGTAAAGCACTTTGGTTGATGGTTGTTGTTTTTAAATGTGCTCTATAAATACATTTTATGAAAATATGCAGTAATGTAGTTCATGTAGTTTCCCCATCATGGTCTTAACCTGACACCTAGTGTCCATTTCAGAGAATTGCACCTACGGTTTTAGTTTGTGTATTCAGCAGTGATGCTGTCATAATTACTCTGAGATTTAGTTTGTAGACTAGAAATAGAGCTGCTGTGTTTAAACTACATTGTTGAAGATGACTGACAGCTGTTTACTTACATGTATATTTAACTTCTCTTAATAAAAAACAGAAACCACTCCTTTGAACATGATGAACCTTATTTGTGATAATAAATTGTTGGAAATATTGGAATCATTTGTCTGATTGGAAGTCAGACCACTTTGGATTCAACCAGCAAATGGTCATCAGCCACTTTCCTTCACAGCGACTCACCTGGGCAAAATAGTTGTGGTCAGCAGGTGTCTCCTGAAGCGATGACGCCTCATTGATCAAAGTCTCTCCACCTTCACGCTCAGCAGATGGCTGCTCGTCCTCCTCAGAGATAGCCTCTTCTAGCTCATCCCCAACACAGACACATATACAGCCGCCACCTGTTGACCACAAATAGTGAAATACATGGTTATTTTATGTAACTATAGCAATCAACCCTTCCTAAGTCCCGCCCCTTTTTGGTCTGCGGTCCAATAACAGTTATGGAAGAACTTTAATCAACTTTATACCTAATCCAACTAATCCAGCTAGCTAGTTAATCTATATCAATCATTAGCTGGTTAACTAGGTAGCTAGTTAGCTGTGTTTGTTTTGCTACAGAGGAACCCACCAGCTAACTAGCTAATCTACATAAATTGTTAGCTGGCTAGTTTGAAAGCTAATGTGGTTAAAAGATTAAAGCTATACATATATAGTCACATCTTAAGTTAACAACTGTAAGCAAAATGCTACTTAAAGAGCTAGCTGGCATAATAATCAGTAGCTAATTAGTCTACACTGATCATTAGCTGGCTAGTTAGGGGACTAGTTAGCTTGTGTTTTGCTACAGAGCTATGTGCTATATAAAAAAAACACATTTTGAAGATGATTAAAAGACAAAAGCTACACATATATAAATAGTCATATATTAAGTTAGCTAATGTTAACAAAATGTTAGCTAACAAGCTAGCTGACATCAATCGTTCGCTAGCAAGGCGGTTAGTTAGCTATAATTTAGCTATAGAGCAAAAAACTGGCTAACTAGCTACTTTACAGTCATTGTTTGCTAGCTAGTTACATGTGATAGCTAATGTTAGCAAAACTGCCAGGACATTTAACTCTAATGTGGCAGCCATCTATTGACACAGTCGTCCTGGTAAACATACGGCGCGGAGCCAACCGGACGAAACCATCCAAGACCACATTGACTGATTCCTTCAACTTCCTCCTGTACTTAGATATGCTATGTGCTAGGCTAATCTATGTTGAAAAGACAACTACATTTTGAAGACAATTTAAAGATAAAAGCAACACATATGTAGTCACATATCAAGTTAGCTAATGTTAGCTAAATGCTAGGCTCTTGTTTGCTAAATTGGGCAGGAAGAAACTCAAAAGTGGGAAGCTAACATTAGCCTATTAGCATATGTATTTGAATGGAAATTATTTTTTACCTCCCTCAGCTCGTGGTTGGGAAAGATGCCGACAGTTCATTGTCCTTCTCCTGCGAGCAGACTGACAGCGATGATCCTTTTCCAATAAAACAAAATAGCTGAAAGTCGTCGATACGACGTCCATCTCGTCCAACGTTTTAGAAACTGTAACATGGAGCTGAAGGCGGGACGGTTACAGTGACGCACTCCTGCACACTCGCTCGCCTGTTCCATTATGTGTTCCTCACCTTTTACAACAACCGTTCATCCGATCCACTTCACACTAGGCGGGGTGTATTTCTGGAGACGCAAGGAAATGTAGAGTCCAATGTGGTTGCAACTTGGAC